GTGTGTGTGTGTGTGTGTGTGTGTGTGTGTGTGTGGGCGCGCGCGCATGTTTGTTATTTTGACAAATGATTAAGGAATATGACATGTTGAAGATGTGCAATGAAGGTGGCTTTCCGGAAAAGAAACTCTATTATGTATTTTTCCTCTTTTGACTCAATTTTTACTCTTTACTCTTTTGAATTTTTGTACTCTTTTATTTCTTTGATCGTGAGACTTTCTGTTTTTGGGGGACCAGTTATTCTCTGTGCTTTTTTTTTACCCACTTTACATTCTGTTTGTACTCTTTACGCTATTACGCTTTGCACTAGTTATCCTGCCTAATCCATTTGTACTCTTTAAATTCTTTGATGTGGAATTTTGTCAGCTGTTTTTGGGACTATTTACTCTCCATGGGTACTCTAGAGTCGTTTTTTTTTTCCTCGTTGTGCTCTTGACTGGCCGGGGTCTTGTTGCTGTATTGATGTTTGTCGCTACGATCTGGGAAGTGAATGCGGCATGATGCAGAATTCTCGTGGGACTTTTCGGCAACTGGAGTGCGCCAGCCAAAGGATGCCGATGCTCCTGCTAAATTAGGCTATGACATCACTTTTTGTCTTTTGATAAAAACTTGAAGGTGTCAGCCGTATCCCATGATGCTCCTTAGCGATTATGTCACCATCAAGCAGAGTGCGCGCTTGTCCCGCATGAGAAGCCAGGAAGCGAGGGAGGGAGGGAGGGAGGGCGAGCGAGCATTGATTGAATAATGCGCCGAGGGAGCGAGCGAGCGCTAGGACGATGAGGAGGAGGGATGCGGTGAGGAGGGCCGAGAAGCCAGCGGGACGCCCGGCGTGACAGCAGCAAGACCGACACAAACGCCTCCGGCTCATTGGCTGACAGGCAACGAGGGGGGGGAGCGGTCTCTCACCTCCGACGATGGGCAACAACTGCGGCGGAGGTAACGATGCCCCACGGCCGGCTCGTGTTGAACTTTGCTTGGGCCGCCCCGTCAAATAGCAGCGTGGCGTACATGCGGATAGAGCGACGCCGTGACGCCGTCGTAACATCAGACAGGAAGTGGGCTTCTAAATTTAGGGCGAGGATCAATGACCGTGGACGAGCTTTTTCAAAGCTCAAGTTGTTCCTCGCTGATTTGAACGCGTCCGGATGTTCAGGAACTTTTGTTTTCACATCAGCCAAACACATGCGTGTGAAAATGATGATGATGATGATGGTGTACGAATAATAATAATAATGACCTTTTACTTTGCCAAAGCATCGCCCCCGAGGAGGCGGAGCATCCCTGGCCCGTCAAACTTGGAGAAGAGCGTCGCCGTGGACCCACCCTACTCGTCGCCTTTCAGAGTGCCCGTGAGTCTCGGTGGAAACCCAACACTTCCTGCTTTACCCCGCGCAGTAATCTGATTACTCACTCTTGAGGTGATCAGAGTACTGGCAAAAGAATCAGCGCACTGCTAGATTAATCGGTGTACTGTCAAGGTAATTGGAATCTGTGAGTCATTAGACTTGTGCGTCTCAGTCATGCGACAGTAATCTGACTACTCTCATTGCAATCATCAGAGTAGTTTCAAAGTCTTTTCATCGTAAACTCAAAGTATGTCAAAGTGTTCCATATTTGCTGAAGTAATCAGCTGCAAAGTAATCAAAGTACAATGATTTGATCTAAAAAGTGGCAACGTAATAAAAGTACCGTCACAGTAATCAAAGTAGTAATTGTATGAGCAGTGTCATGTCAAAGTAATCCAAGTCCCCTCAAAGTAACCACAGAGGTATTATTCAGTACCAGCCAATTCTAGACCAAGTCTGAAAAGACGTTTAAAAACGTCTTTGGGAGTGAATGCGTTCAAATAATTACAGTGATTTCCTAGTAATCACAGTACTTTGTACTGTATGCCAAATATAGTATGCGATAGTAATCATTGTACTGCAGGGTCATCTGAAGATGTCAAAGCAAACTGAATCATGACAAAGTAGTGAGAGTACTGTCAAAGTAGACTTTAAACAAAAAAATCTTCAGCCCTGTCAAGAGTGATGCGAGTATGTCATCATCATGAAGACGCCGAAGACAACGCGTGAGCGCTTGCGCGTCGACTCCGGGGTGCCTTTGAAGATATTAATAACGCAGGAAAGGAGGCCGCCTGCCACCGCCGCACCGGTGAGGAGCTTTAATTGTCTCGGGTAGCGTGATGGGCGGAGCCACGCGATGCGCTCACATGACCGCAAAGTAATCAGATTACACTTTCACCCTTGATGCTGACTTGACTGACCAGTCTCGTAACAACTAAAAAAAAAATCACGTGTTGCCACGGAGACGCACAATGTTACCATACGCAAGTTTCTGAACTAATTGTGTGTGTGTGTGTGTGTGTGTGTGTGTGTGTGTGTGTGTGTGTGTGTGTGTGTGTGTGTGTGTGTGTGTGTGTTTCAGGGCTTCTTGAGCAAGCGTCTGAAAGGTCCCATCAAATGGACAAAAAGTCCAAGCAAAGTGGAGCGGAACAGCAGTATGAGACTTCCTGTTATGAGACCCGCTGAGACAGACAGGTCCTCTTCCCCTCGAGCACTTTTATTTTGGAAGGCTGACAAGGCTTCCTGTGCATGCGTGCCTGTTCTAGTCAATGCTGTTTGGTGCGTTGAATGAGTTTTTGTCATGTCGTTTTGAAATGTCCTAACTTGTGAGCGGTCACTGAACGCACCTCGAGTCTCTTGACGAACGCGTGCGAATACAGTGGAGCCGGGGGATTTAATACACCAGGCGTCTAACTTCCTGGTTCGAAAAATAGCCACCAAAAGAAGTCATATTTCTTGAGAAATTAGATCGCCATTGTGCCAAAGGTAGTACATAATCATCTATAATTAAATAGCATCATTACAGACTGTAATGCTTCCTATGTTTGCCTGTCACAGGTCTTATGGACTTTCTCAGCCGAAGGAATGGACGTCGCGCGAGTCTCTGCTGAATCCCGGTGGAGCTCTGGAGGCACTGGACCTCAACGTGGAGGACGGTGTCTCGGTCAGACCTCTGCACGGCAGCATTGTGGGTCAGGACTTCTGCTTTGAGGTGAGCCGCCCGAGCCCTGAGGGTTTGAATTTCATCGATATGTGGACTGGGAGGAAGTGCGCGACCCTGTGAGGTGATGAGTTGCACGTTTGAGAGGAAAGAGCGAGACAGAGTAGGGGAGAACGGGAGAGTGAAGCCCGTTGCAGGGCGAGACGGACAAGATAGCACAGGGCCAAACCAGGACACAACGGGGAAAAAGGGAAAGAACGGGGCTGGCGGTGTCCGTCACAAGATATCGCTCGTGGTCACGCCCCCCTACCTCTCCAATTTCCTGTCAGGTGACCTACTCAGGCGGCGCCAAGTGCTTCAGCTGCTCGTCGGCGTCAGAGCGAGACAAGTGGATGGAGAACCTGAGGAGGAGCATGCAGCCCAACAAGGTGGGATGGGCCCTTCCCAGACGCCGCAAGCCGTTCGCCAACAAGCGGGCGTGTTGTCATAGCTTTGATTTCACCCAAAGTTCAAATTCCGCAAATGTCTTGAAACGCCATTGGGCAGAATCCTTTGGACCCGAGCGCCTGACGTTTTTCTTGTCACTGGGACGTTGACGGATGAAAATGATGCCGAGTGTCATTAGCATCGACTCATTGGGAAACTCTCCGATGAGTCATAATTTGGGACGCGGCTGAACGTGAACGAGGCGGAAAGTCTCGGGAAACTGTGATGGCGATGTGGCGCTTGAACGTTTTTCAGGACAACCGCCGCAGGACGGAGCATCTTCTGAGGCTGTGGATCATCGAGGCCAAGGACCTGCCCCCCAAGAAGAAGTACTTCTGCGAGCTGTGCCTGGACGACGTGCTGTACGCGCGCACCACCAGCAAGGCTTGCCGCCCCGGCCCCTTCTGGGGCGAGCGCTTCCTGTTGGCCGACCTGCCCGCCGTACGCAGCCTCACCGTGCACGTCTACCGAGACGCCGAGCAGAAGAAGAAGAAGAAGCAGGACAAGAACAACTACGTGGGACTCGTCAACATCCCCGCGGCCGCCGTCACAGGACGACATTTTGTGGAGAAGTGGTACGGACGCTACGCGCAAAGGCTTAGCTAACGTTCCCAGAACGTTAGCTTCTTGCCGATGACTGAATTGTATCTTGAACGGTCGGCAGGTACCCGCTGAGCACGCCGGCGGCCGCCAAGGCCAGAGGGGGCGGCGGCCCGTCGCTGCGCCTCAACTTGCGTTTCCAGAGCATCGCCGTGCTGCCTATGGAGGACTACAAGGAGTTTGCCGAGTACGTCACCACGTCGTACGCTACGCTCTGCGCCGCCCTCGAGCCCGCGGTTGGCGTCAAGGACAAGGAGGACGTGGCCGCCGCGCTCGTGCGCATCCTGCACGCCACCGGCACGGCCAAGGTGAGAGCAGGCTGTTGAAGTCGTGAGGGGGGGGCGGCGCCCATTTTGCCACTTGCTGTCGACTGAAAATGACATCACAGTTCAGTTGCTCAGGAAACAGCCAATCGCGGCTCACCTGTTCTCTTGGTTTTAGTCATGTGATATTCGCAAACTGAGCCCGATCAATGGCCTGAAAAATCGACCTCCGCCTCGTTTTGAGTGTCATCTCCGTTTTGTTCTCGCCATCTTGTTTTGGCTTGTTGTGCCCGCAGGAGTTCCTCAGTGAGGCGGTGATGTCGGAGGTGGAGCGCTGCGGCCAGCGCGACGTCCTCGTCTTCAGGGAGAACACACTGGCCACCAAGGCCATCGAAGAGTACCTCCGACTTGTCGGACAGAAGTACCTACATCACGCGCTTGGTACGTGCGCATGCACACACGAGCGGCGCCCGTACGAACAAGGCAACGCTAACGACGACGACGCGCACCGCGCAGGCGAGTTTGTCAAAGCGCTGTATGAATCGGACGAGAACTGCGAGGTGGATCCCGCACGCTGCGCTGCCGGCGACCTGTCGGAACATCAGAGCAACTTGAAGATGTGCTGCGAGTTGGCCTTCTGCAAGATCGTCAACTCCTACCGGTAGCGCAGCCACAACTTCCTTCTTGACTTTGCGTATTACTTCCTGACTTCCACCCAGACTTCCTGTTGTGCATGCTGACTTTCTGTGTTCCATCCTGACTTCCTGCAGCTTTGTCCAAATTGGTAGGCTGCGTCCTCGCAAGGCCAAATTTGTCATGACGTAACTCGATCGCGCGGCCGTTGTCCAAATTCATGCGTCCTTCGAATCCAGCCTCCAAATGGTTCCTTCGTTTCCATGGAGACGGGCCCCGAGCGAAGGCTGCTTCGGAGCACACTTTTATTGCCTACCTTGCTCCTTCTCTTCTTCTACACCGACTTGTTGGTGGAGGCCAGTAGCACGGCACCAGTTCAGTCAAGTCCCGCCCCCGCCTGACGCCGACTGCTGATTATTCATCGGTGAAGAGTGAGTGACAGGCTGTTTGTTTTTTGCGCTCCACGATGGCTACATAAGGACGATCCTTCGGGACATTTGAGAACCAGCCTGCAAATTTAGTCCCAGCTTGTGTTCCACCCTGACAGGAAGTCTTACATGCTGACTTCCTGTCTTACATCCTGTGTGACTTCCTTGTTTAGATTTCCTGTTTGGTATGCTGACTTCCAGCGTGTCCATCCTGCCTTCCTGTTTTCCATCCTGACTTCTTGGGTTACATTGTGACCTCTGATTACATCTCACCTGCCATTTTGTTTTTCATCCTGTTTTCCTGAAATTCAAACCAGACTTCCTGTTTTAGGTTGTAACTTCCTGTTTCCGAGATGTGACTTCCTTGTTTACAGCCTACCTTTGTGCCGTGCATGCCGACATCCTGTTTTTCCTCTTAGCTTCCTGTTGTTGATCTCGACTTCCTCTTTTGAGATCAGGACTTCCTTGTAAACATCCGTTTTGGCTTTCTGCTTCAGATGTTGAACTCCTGCTGGTTTATTTTGCATCCCGACTTCCTGTGTTGCATTCTAACTTGTTGCTTGACACGACGTTTTGACTTGTGCTTCCCATTGGCCTTCCTGCGCAACACGGCGACGGGGCGCACGCCAGCGTGTTCCCTCGCGAGTTAAAGGACGTGTTTGCATCGTGGAAGCGGCGCTGCGCGGCAGCCGGATGTCCGGCCGACATCAGCCAACGTCTGATCGGCGCCTCGCTCTTCCTGCGCTTCCTGTGTCCCGCCATCATGTCGCCGTCGCTCTTCCAGCTCACCCAGGAATATCCCGACGAGCGCACGTCCCGAACGCTCACGCTCATCACCAAAGTCATCCAGAACCTCGCCAACTTCGCCAAGTAGGCGCTCGCTCGGCCGTCGTCTGGCTTTCCGCGGAAGGGGCGTGTGCTTTGGTTTCCGCGGTAACACTTGCGGATGTGGCCGCAGGTTCGGCAACAAGGAGGACTACATGGCCTTCATGAACGACTTCCTGGAGCGCGAGTGGGCGGGCATGACACGTTTCCTGTCAGAAATCTCCAATCGGGATAGCGCGACCGGCGTGGCGGGATACGACGGATATGTGGACCTGGGCCGAGAGATGGCCTTGCTGCACGGGATGCTGGCCGACGTCGTCGCGCAGCTCGACGAGGTGTGCGTGTGTGGGTGGCGCCCTCTTTGTGTATGCGTGCGTTTGTGTGCACACGTGTGTTGATGCAAAAGCGTGACCTGGCTGACTCCGCCCACTGGTCACATTACCTGACGCTGCCCCTCACCCGTCACCCGTCCCCTTCCCTTCCCTTTTCCTTCACTTCACCTCCTGGCCGGTCGCCGCCACGGTTTATCCCCGCATCCCGCATCCTTCCTCGCCTGCCGCTTTACCGTCGTGTCGCCCGTACATGCCCCAGACCGAAGTCTCAAACGTGAAAATTCCTTCCTGCAGGCCACCGTCGCCAAGTTGGGCCCGCTGCCAAGGATCCTGGGAGATCTTTCTCGCCGGCTGGCCACGCCCGACCACCACCAGCAGCCCCGTGGCTCCGCCCACAACATCAGCGCCAGCCTCTTGTCCGGCTTGCACGCAATCTTCCATGATGCCTCCGACAGGTAATCGGATAATCAATTAGTGAGATGACCTCATTTAGACCGGTCAGCTCCTTCCTCTCCAAATTTTTCAAGCATTGCCACTGGAAAGTACTCACGCCGCTTGGCCTTATGGGTCTTTTGCCTCCTTCCAAAATAGGTTTTGTCATGTTTGGTGTCCTGCCACAAGTTTGCATACACTTTTGTTTCAGCGTGGGTGAGGCGGTGACGGCGCCAGGGTCACCCATCCTGCCGCGGCAGGGACTTTTCTGCGAGGGCGGCCAATTTGCGAGCGAGGCAACCGCTTTGACGTGCGGGCGTAGCATCTCTCTGGTGGACCTTCAGGACCCGGCCGCCCAGGGTCCTCTTCGGGCCCGAGCGAGTTCAAGGGCGTCGATTAGGCTGGCCGGAGCACCGCCCACAGATGTGCAGCCCCAGAGCGCCCCACAGGTATGTCATGACGTGGAGAAACGCACGACGGAACAAGATGGCTCAACCATTTGAACTTTCACCGAACCCCTCTCATTCTTACAACTTGCATGGACAATCAAAACTATGAGGAAGCTCACAACGGAATCTTGTCTTTGTACAGTTAGACAATCGGGCCAAGTGTCCTTAACTTGGCCCGATTGTGTAACTTTGATGTGGGTTTGGCGAAGGCCTGGTCCACGTTCAAAAGTAGTGGGGCTGATTTTTCTCCCAGGACTGAACGTGTGGTTCCTGTTTCCACTTTGTGAGCATCATAATGGTTGCCTGTGTGATATTTTTCACCTCAGGTACGCCGCCCGCTAGCTCCACCCATCAAACATCAAAGCAGCCTGCAGCCGCTCTCCTTCCACAACCCCGCCTACCAGCTACAAGGTGCCGCCCACTCGCCACAGGACTCCAGCACCGGCAGCTCTCGCGGGAGCCAGCTGGGACGCATCACCTTGGACGAGACGGGCAGCGGCGAGGGGCCCGACATCGCCGTTGCAACTGCCCACGTCGTCAAGGTGGAGCAGCAGCAGAGTCGCGCGGGGCCCGACACGGAGGCCGCGCCCACCGATGGCCGCCACTCACCCGATGGGGCGCCGCTGTCATCCGGGGGAGCCACTGAGCAGAAGGTGAGGCAGACACACACACACACACACACACACACACACACACATTTTGTCTACCTGTCCACCTCTGCCCTCTCACGTACGCGCATGTAAGCTCACTTCGTGTTCAAAGTGGTGAAGCTGTCGAGTGTTTGCAGGCGCGCTCCATGACT